GCCTACCTTCCTACTTCTTTTCTTCTTTGCCCAGGTAAAGTTAGTTATGAATGAAATTTTAAAGGAATATCTTGTAAAAACATTATGAAGCAGTTTGATCTCAATCTCTCTCTCTTTTGCTCTTTCTGTCTCTGTCTCTTTCTCTCTAGTTTGCTACCTCACTCTAACTCCCCCTCTTTTATCCTTCTTCTATTTTTCTTTTCTATTTCATATTGCCTTCATCTTTTCTTTCTCCTTCCCTATACCCCTTCTGAAAGGCAAAGCAAAACAATAAAAATAATCAATATGAATGCTTCAGTAAAAATAATTATTATAGCAGCTAATATTTACACGTCTTACGAGATCTAATCCACTTAAGCCTCATAAAAAATCCTATGAGATAAGAACTTTTGTTGTCCCAATTTTATCATCCTTAGCTCTTCTTGCTCTATCTGCTACCATATTTAATTGTTTATTGTATGAATGAATGAATGCATGAATGAACGAATGAACGAATGAATATACTTCATATTGTTAGTTTGCAGATTTCATCTGGGATACATTAGAAAAACACATTTCTGAATATTTCCTAGGGCTATATCTTGGGAATAGGTCTTATTGATGATTTTTTTTTTTCTGTTTCTATTGTTTTGGGGAAAAATCAGCAGCAATCACAAAGAACTACGCAAGAACTTTGAACCAGCCATTTTGAACCTAAATTATCAATTTGGGAACTAGATGATCAATAACAAATTCTTACATTCTTTACCTTCTTGGCCTTTCCTTAAATTTAAGCCAATGAATTAATTTTAAAAATGTGTCCACCTTTCTGAATATTTTTGATAGTAATGTATTATTTTTTGGCCAACTGTTGAAATGTTATATTTTAATAAGTTTCCACTGGTGGTCACGTCAGATATTGTATTGAAAGGATGAGGTCATGAGAAAGAAGTTTAATTGGATCACAGAACTGCATACTTTCTGGATAAAAGGTAAAGGCTAAGAAAAGAGTTCATTATGCTACAAGAAAGAAAGTAACCTTTGGGTACAGAACTACCATTTTTTAATGATTAAGGACAGAATTAGAAATGTATTCATAATAGTGACTTCATTTTAATTAGGAACTTCATTTATGCCCCAGCAAGCACTATGAACTCATTAGAATATGCTAAGATACAGTATGGCATGGTAGGTGATGAAAAATGTAAGGGGAAATTAAAAAATAAATTGAGCGTAGGGTATTAGAATACATAAGTGATGCTCAATTGGCAGTGAAGTTGACATACACAGTTGCTTTAGAAGAGGCAAAAGAAGAGAAAATGAAATATCTCTCCTAGGAATGATTGCTTTAAAATCTTGAATATTTTAATTGCATGTATCAAAACAGAAACACTCAACTAGAAGTTAATGGGAAGTGAGAATTAGGATTCAAATATAGTTCCAAAGTAACTGTCTTTCTAAAAATTATGTTCCAGTTATTAAATTTAAGAAAAAATTATACTATTAAAATTACACTTGACTTTCAGATATTATGGGAATTTATTCTCTGTTTTTTGTTGGCATTAATAGAAGTTGCATGAATTCAAGAGGATAGGATTCAAGAACAGAATAAAGCAACAGGCAACAGCTCAGTTTTGAGCAAGAAGCTCTTTGGGACTGCATTATACTGAGTCACTTAAGAATGGTCAAGTCTAGTTTATGATTCAATGAGCTGCCCTGGCCGGGTGCTCAGATGGTTAAAGCATCCTCACGATGCATCAAGATTGCAGGTTCGATACCTTACCAGGGCACATATAAGAATTTACCAATGAATGCAAAAAGAAGTCAAACAACAAATGTTTCTCTCTCTCTCCCTCTTCCTTCCTCTCGCTCTCTCAAATCAATAAATTAAAAAATTTGTAAAAAAAATTCAATGAGCTAAGGAACTAAGGAATGTTTGTTGAATACAACTCATGAATATAATTCATGCTTTCAATGTTATTTATGTAAACAACTGACATTCAGTTGGTGTTTTTATTGTTTTAAAATAAAGCAATGGACTTTAGCATCTTATATTTTCTATTTATTTAGTGTTTACCTTCTTTGCAAAGCTGAGCAGGGAAGTAGAGATCAGAACTAATGCTCAAGTCAGTTGAAGGATTCTTTTTAATATGTGTATTTCTAAGACAGATGCACTAAAAACACCCAGGAATTAGTGAGTAGTTTATATCAAGTAGAATGCTGAAAACAATCTCAAGGGAGTATCAGGAACCAAGGTGGAGCACACAGTTGGTGCACAACAGGTATTGTGCCAGACTTATCAATGCATTAGCAAAGTTAGATAATGGATTGAGTCTGTCTTCTCAATAAAATGATTTTCAACACCACCTTTTTTCCCCATATGGGTTTATTGTTCTTTTAATATCTCCAGTGTTGAAAATAATTCCCAATTTTATGATGCCTCTGCACTTATGTTAAAAAACTGTGATTCTGGCAATTGCACTGAATCACTGATAAGTACTAGGGGTCACAACAGCAAACCCAGTGGCCATTTTTAAAAACAGTGAAGACAAGTTCAGATGTGTTCTAAAGTCTGATTGAATTAATTAATTGTTAATTAATTAATTAAAATATTGAAATATAAAAAATAAAAAGTTAAAAAAATAAAGTATGATTGACTTATGAGTATAAAATATTTATATCTGTAGAATTGATTATGAAAATCAGAAAATTTTACAGGTCATCCAATGTGAGATGTCAAAGGTTAAACTTGTTTTGAAAATTGTGCTAAAATTCTTGGAAGAGTTACACTACAAAAGAAAAGTTATATATTCACAGTGAACTTGATAATAATAGTAATAACAATACAATAACTATCTATAGGTAACATATCATATGCCAGCTACTGTAGTAAGCACTTGACCACATTCATTCCTCATAACAACACAATGTTATATGTATTATTTTAATAATATTGCTATATAATATTAGAAGCACACATTGAGAAAACAAATTTTCTTAAGGATTTATTGCTACAGAGAAGCTCCCAAACTTTTTCTTCTTTTAGTATTAAGTTCATTATAGTTAATTCAAAAGTGCTTCCTTTCCTGTTTGTCTCTTAGCCTGGAGTATATAGTTTTTTATTTAACAGAAGCCCTCCCTGTCTTCCCCCATCACAGTACTTTGTTTTATGTCTTTGATCTTATTGTATGTTTCATTTGCTGGATAATGGAAAGACCAAGGAAGAAAAGCCAAAGCAGGTTAGAGCGCTGAATCATTTCCAATCAACATCATCAACTGCTAGTCACAGGTTTTTTTCTTCTTTTTATTTAAGGACACTGACATCCTATAAACTTTAAGAGAAAAATTCAATCCACCCAACTCTAAAAGCAGAGTTCACCTTTTCAGAAAACCTGTGCCGTTTGAAATCATAACCACAAAGAAGACCTTTGTGGATGTATTTGCAAGCATGGGCCATTGAGAGCATTTTGTTTAGTACTACCTGTTTAGTTTAATTTCTCCAAGACATCTAAAATACAGTCAGCTTTGAGAGTTTAAAGGTCAGGCTCAGGAAAAGCCCACACATTTAAAAGAATCATGTTATTTTGTAAAGTTATTGCACATATAAAATATCTATATTATTTATAATTTGGCCCATTTTAGGTAGACATTTAAAAGAGTGGTATATTTTTATCAGAAATAATTTTTGCACTGTTCATTGAGCTGTGGGGAAGTGCAGATAGAAGTGAGTTCAATTATTAACAATATTTCATAAAATTCTGGGCTTCTTGCTATATTACCAACATTCATAGAAATGACTCATTGGAGTTGATTTTACTTCTACAAATGGCAGTCTAAAGCAAGTTGAGGTATATTTGTCAACAGCATGTCTGTGCACTGTGCTCCTGGGAAGTTGAATATGCAAAGAAAGAAAATTAGGAGGGTGGAAAAGTTCGGGAATAGTCCCAAATCTATGAAAACAACCACCAGGCTTGTCATTGCTTATTTAAAGCATTTCACTGAGATCCTTCAATGTCCCCAGATTTAGAGATTCCCTCATTTTAGCAGCACCCTGGAGAATAACACCTTTTCTTTTTCTATTTCAAAATTCCCATAGCTTTTGAAGTTCTTAAATGGCTGCAGTGATGATAATATTCTGAATTTACAATACCTTTTACGTTTAAGTACTTTACAAATGACATGGAAGGCTCCTTCACCAAAGACTATGCTATCTCACTGAAGCTTCTAGAGATTTAAATGGGCAGGAGGCAGATTGAAATTGACCTGGGAGGCCAAGGATATAATTTCATTTCTACTGAAAAATGTCCTGGGAGCACCAAGGACTCAAGAGGTCAATAATTGTAGCTTTACTTTTTTTTTTTTCAAAGGCTACCTGTGACTCTCCAGGGCCCTTCTGGGGCAGTGGTCTTTGTTCAAACAAGGCAAGGATTTCATTAATTAAATCACTAACACTACTCTTCCTCTCACCTGAGACTGTATCATAGAACACTATCAGAGTTTAGACCTTCTTTATCTGTAATATCTGACCCAGTCAGAGTACAAGGCAACTTTGCTTCAGGCAGAATTTGTAATACCTTGGGAGTGTGTTCCTTTCCCTAACCTCTTATCAAATGCTGCCCCGCTCTGTTTTGTTTTTCTTTTTTCTTTTTGGAGTACATTTCTTGAATGTTTCATAACTATGTTGTGAAGGAAAAAGGCATATTTTCAAATGTCTATGCTTTCTATACATACATAGAATTTAATTCATCGAGATACCCTGAAGCATTCCAATTTTACATTGAACACAGAGCTGTGCATGAGAGTCTTTAAACTGGGTTCTCAAACTTTCAATATTATTTTCTCTTGATTTTAATTGTTTTTCCTGTAGTGATATATTCGTAATAAATTTTCTAGGTACAAAGGAATTCTCGAAAAGATACACTTCTGAATTAATAGTAACATGATTCCCTTTTATAATTTTTCAAATGAAAATTAATAAACTAAAAGATGAAATTTATCATCTGTAAAAATTTTTTTTTCAGTTCTGATGATGCCTTCAGCAAAGTTAATTTAAATTACCGCACAGAAAATGGACTGTCTCTGCTTCATTTATGTTGCATTTGTGGAGGTGAGTGCTTGAAGCTCAATACTTTATAAACTAGTTTTATATATATGTGGTCAGTGATTTGAACTGCTTAACAGTCTACAAGAGAATTCTATTTATACTCAATTTTCTCTCTTCTTTTGCCCCCACAACTTTGATAACCTTCAGCTGAAACAGTAACTATCAGGCAGATATTCTGATTGATTTAGCTCTGAGTTTAAATTTAATTGTGCTTCTACATCAAACCAAATCACTTAACTTGCTTGGAAATCCAAAGAGCATTTTGCAGTAGTAGGCAAGCTAGTGAGGGATAAGGTTAAATTTAGAGGTACTTAAAAAGCATTCCCCAAAACATTATCAAGCAATTACTTCACAGTCTGCAGTAAGATATGCAGAAAGTAATAAATGCCAAGGATAAAAGCTCAAAGTAAAGACTGATCAAAGGAGATTAAGAGTTTAATTTGGCTTTGTCGTTGTTGTTGCTGTTTATTAATATATCCCAAACACCTAAGATAGTGCCTGGCATGTAGTAGGTACTCACTAAACGTATTTAATTAATGAATTAATAGTTATATTTATTTCTGTTAATTCAAACGAACTTTCATTGAATTCAGCTTTTCAAATAGAGCACTGATATATAAATATTGATGCTCACCAGATCTCTTAATCATTTCTGTCAAACAAATTGGTCAGACTGCTTTGATCTAAATAAGCTCTACTGCTAATGATATTCTGAGAAATCCTGTGTAACTACACTTTTATCTAAGTTTTTTTTCCTAATAGTTTATTAAGATGATTTTTTTTCATGTTTTTATGTTTTAAAACCATCTGATGATGAGAGCATGAAATAAAAAAAAAAAACTTAACACAAATGCATTAAAATACACAGCATTGATTCAAAATTTTATAAATGTCATAGAAATGTTCACTTCTAAGTAAGGCTGTCAATTAATAGAAAACTTTAAAAATAGCCTGCAGAACAGCAATCTGACATTTTCATACATGAGTGTGACATTTATCATTAAGTCTAAGAGAGATTTTAAAATCACTTAGTCTACCCCCTCAATAATTTAACCTTTTTTTAAAAACTTTTCTCTTTAAGGCAACAAGTCTCATATTAGAACCCTTATGTTAAAAGGGCTCCGCCCATCTCGACTGACAAGAAACGGATTTACAGCTTTGCACTTGGCAGTTTACAAGGTACAACATTTTTGTTCCAATAAATATTGTTTTAGAACAAGAGTGTGTGTATCTTCAAGCTTTTTTTTTTTTTTTTTTTTTTTTCCAAATTAGTAATCACGGAAAATGTTCACAGAGACTAGAATATTTCAAAATTGGGCTTCTTGCTCTTACTGAGCAGGTATCATCTATATACCAGACACATACTCTTTTTAATGCTTTCTGTATTTAACTTATTTAATTCTCACAAGAACCCTGTGCATGAATACTGTTATCTCCAGTTACATGGTTAGGCAGTGGTCAGCTGGGAACTAAGACCTGGCTGTCTGGTTTTCTCACCAGAGCTTCTTACCAGGAGTCCAAGCTGTCTCTGTGCAGAAGAGGACGAGACTGCATTTGAGGAATTCATGAAAGAAGCATATTGAAGCTGCATTCTTTTTCTGCATGTTTTCAATTTTATATATATATATATATATATATATATATATATATATATATATATATATATGCAGTTCCCTTAGTTTCCTTTTTTTATTTCTCTCCTTTTGCTTCAGTTGTTTATTTCTTTATATCAATCCCAGGTTCCAACCTAATCTCAGTACCTGATCAGAAAATAAAGAGAAAAGTGGATTGGAAAAACTGGAGTACTCAGTGTTGAGATAAATCTTTCAGATTTTCATAAATATAAATTTATGTAATATATCAATTAAATATATGTAACTCATTCATTCTCTAATTATAATAAGGTTCTATTTGTACTTATTATGAGATAATTAGCACACTAGGTTTTATATACATTATTTCTTTAACCATTAAAATAATCTAGTGAGTTACCTGTTGGATTTTATTTTACAGAAAAGGAAACTAAAGGTTAAAGTTAGAGATCTAGTGAATGCTCACACTTTCAGAGTCTCCTTTTATATTGCATATTTTGTTCTTTCTCCATTTCATGTGAATCTGTGATATGATTTTATTTCAGTGCAGGATATGATTTTATATGTGCAGGTAGGGCGTGGGCAGCTGTTTGCTCATGTCGAGGTCCCTTCCCAACCTTTAGAGAATTTATCACTGTGAGGGAAAAGCGCCATATTTTCCCATTATTCAGATTCCCTTATTCCTGTAGTCAGAGTGCAAGTACTCTCATGATCATGTGTTTCCATGCCCCATCAATGCCTAGTCAATTTTTCTGATTCCTTCTGGGAGAAAGCATCAGGGAAATGCTAAATACTCTTTCATACCTACTCATCATTCTGGGAAACTGGAATGGAGCCTGCCCTCAGGGAGTAGGAAAAGTGTCTGATGCTGGTTTTTCTGCTAAATGGCAATAGGTGGAAGTAGGAGAGCTCCAATGGACAGGAAGTGTTATGCATAGTCGGGGCAGCACATGAAACCATGAATTGTACCCCAACCTCACTCGGAACCCATGTGTGAGGTTGTGTCATGGTAAATCTTAGGAAAATGAACTAATACGGAAAAAAGTCTCCCAACCTCACAGATGGGTTCTTAGTGAAGTAGGGGTACAATCTTTATGAGAATATACATATATAGTCTCTAAATTTTAATTTTTAAAGTTTCTTTTGATCTGTTTCTTCTCTTTTCTTATATTTTACAGAAGGAGATATGGACTAAAACTTTTTTGTAGAAAGTTTAAACAAATTTAGAATCTTAGGACATAAAATAGTCAATAATTCTGAAAAGGCCATAATAGGATGAATGATTATTCTACTTATTCCTCAACAAAGGTAAAAACAAATTCAATTTACCATTTCACTTTAAATATAGAAACAATATAAAATAGTCTTTCATACTACTATTAAATTTAATTCTAATTTTCCCTTCCCTGAACAGCTATAATAGGTATTAATTCATTTTGGGTTCCAGTTCCCTTCCCCCATATATTTTAATAAACATTTATTTTAATGTTATTTTTTAAATTGCCAAAGTAGTACTAGAAACTACTATATATACTTTTTCCAGGTTTGCTAATTATTTACATTTTGTTTCATCTTCATTATTATTTTATTTCTGAAACCTTTGAAAGTAAATTGAAGGCAACATTGCCTCACTTCTACTAAAAACTTCAATCTTTATTTCCTGAGAAAAAGGAAATTCACCAACATAATCACCATACAATTATAAAAATCAGAAATTTTAACACTGATACAATACTATCATTAAGCAATAGTCCAAATTCAAATTTAGCTAATTGTCTCCATAGTGTCCCTTTTTTTCTAGTTCATGATTCAATCCAGAGTCATACATTTTTAGTTTTCTTGTCTCTGTACTCTCCTTTAATCTGAAGGAATTGCCTTGCTTTTCCTTGCCTTTCTTGATCTTCATATTTTTGATACATACAAAACAGTTATTTTTATGTATTTTTTCGGGTTTCCATAAAAATTGCAATTAAACTTCATTTTGTTCTAATGCTCACAAAATAAATAATGTAACTTTTACTGGACACATCAGAAGCTCTTTCAATTATACACCTTAGCATGCTGGGTCTGCTTTAGGGCTGGGTATTTTTTTTTTTTTTTTTTTGCAACGGGACTCATTAGTAGTAAGAAGGAGCAGATGTTTAGATTTTAATGTCATGTGTAATTTTTGCTTTGTTTTTGTTTGTTAATTTTCAATGGGGATTAGATTTATTGAGGCATAATTTATGCACAATAATATTTATAATTTTAAGTATGCAATTTTATGACTTTTGAAAATGTATAGAGTCCTGTACCATTATCACAATCACAATGTTATTCACAAAGGTTCCTTCATAAGCTTTTGTAGTCAGTTTTCTCCTTCATCTCACTTGGTCTCTAGAACCAGGGATGTGTTTTCTATCATTATAGTTTTCTCCTTTCTAGAATTTTATATACATGCAATCCATTCAGGATGTTTTATTTTATATATGGTTCTCCCATTTACTATAATGCTGTTGTTGTATGTTCAGTAATTTATTTCTTTTATTGTGAAGTTGTATTCTCTTATACGGATAAAACACAATTTGTTTAATCATTCACCCATTGATAGATATAGGGGTTGTCTCCAGATATTGACTACTATAAATAAAGCTTCTATTAGCATCCATTTGCATATCTTCACTGAACAAATGTTTTTATTTCTCTTGGACAATACCTAGGAGTGGAATTGCTGTGTCACATCATAAGTGCATGTTTAATTTTATAAGAACATGGCAAACTCTCTATCAAATTGGCTTTATCATTTTTTTCATTCCCATAAGCAATGTATGAGAATTCTAGTTGTTTCATATCTTTGTCAACACTTTGTATGGTCAGTAGTTTTTATTATTTTACCTATTTTACTGGATAAATCTTAGTATCACATTATGATTAATTTGTATTGCCCTAATGACTAATGTAGTTGAGTGGATTTTCATGTGCTTATTTGTCACCAAAATTTTTTGGTGTATTGTCTATTCAAATATTTTTTCCATTTTAAAATATAGTTTATTGAGTTTTTTAATTATAGGAGATCTTCAAATTTTCTGGATACTGTTCCTTTATTGGATATACAATTTGCAAACGTTTTCCCCACTCTATAGTTTGCCTTTTTATTTTCTTAACAGTGTCATTTATTTTTTTATTTTTTTGTTACAGATGTTTCTCCTTTTTTACCCCATTGGCACCCCCCTCCCAAACCCCCCCGCCCCATCCCCGGCTTTGTTGTCCATGTCTATTGGTCATGCATACATGCATATAAGTTCTGTGGTTTATCTCTTCCCACCCCACCCACCCCATCTTCTGAGAAATGTCAGTCTGTGCCCTACTTCCATGTTTCTGGGTCTACCGTATTCCTCAGACTATTATGTTCATTATATTCCGTATATAAGTGAGATCATGTGGTATTTGTCTCTTTCTGCTTGGCTTATTTCATTTAGGATAATACTTTCCAGGTCCCTCCATGTCATCTCAAAGGATAAGAGATCTTTCTTTCTTACCGCTGCATAGTACTCCATTGTGTATATGTACCACAGCTTTTTTATCCATTCGTCTACTGTTGGACACTTGGGCTGTTTCTAGATCTTAGCTATTGTAAATAGTGCTTCTATGAACATGGGGATACATATATTCTTCCTGATTGGTGTTTCAGGCTTCTTAGGGTATATTCCTAGAAGCAGGATCACTGGGTCAAATGGAAAAAGCAAAAGTTTTATGCATTATAAACTGATGACTATGTATTTATGAATTTTCTTTAAAAATGCAGAGCATTTTTAACTGATGGCTCTTGTGATTAGTTTGTATTCTCAACATATCACAGGCACTGTTTGTTGATATTGGCCTACTTCACTTTAAGTATAAGAACCTTGCAATAGTATAGTTCCATTTTATTTTCATTCTTTATAGTAGTGTGGCCATGTACATTGCATCTATACATTGCATCAACTCCAATATACTGATAGAATTTTTGTGTTAAACATGCATGTCTTTTCAAAAAAATAACAGAAGAGAAAATATTTTTGGCTTTCAGCATATTGGTTATAATAATCCTGTATATGATTTTCTCTGCACAAATTTTTTTTGGAGTTCATTGAGTTCCTGTACATTTATATTTTCATCAAATTTTTACCATTATTTTTTAAAATGTGTATGTTAGATTGTTTGATAATCTTCTACAGGTTACCATGTCTCTGTTTACTGTTCTTTATATTTTTTCTGTTCTCAAAATTTGATTATTTGTATTTATTTAAATTCAAATTCAGAAATGATTTTTCTGCAACCTTCCATTGGATGCTAATCTACTAAGAATGATTTATTTCAGATGTACTTTTCAGTTCTAAGATTTTTATTTAGTATTAAAATATCATTGTAAATTCTCTGCTATGATTACTCATCTGTTCTTTTATATTTTCTTCAAATTTTTAGCCTAACATTAATGGCTGCCTTATATGCCTTATTGTTGTTTCTAATCTGGATTACCTCCATGTTTGTTTTTATTGAATGCTTTCTCTTTTAAATATATATCACATTTTATGATTCTTTATATATTTACTAATTTTGTATTGCATG